TTTTTTTGTTTGTTTGTTTTAGTAATGCAAAATCATCACATTTTTGGTTGGTTAGGATACCATAACTTTGTGAATAAATCCCTAGTGAGAATCGAGGTGCTTCAGGAAATGAGGTCTCCGGTGCAAATGAGGGCATGTTGAATGGCAGGCTGCAGAGCCACTCCCAGCTGTGGGCTCACAGACTGCCAAGTGTGCAGTATGTGAACATACCTTCCCCCTCTGGCTCAGCAGCCTGCTCACCAGCCATGCTCTGGTCCTCTGTGCTGCCATGTCTGTGCAGGACAGTCTGGAGCCCCGTGCTGGCTGCTCAAGGCTTCCTTCACATTTCCCATGCAGAAGTACACACCTAGCAACACGATTTACACTTGCAAACTTCAGGGGAAGTAATTTCCCTGGGTAACAGATACAGCTCACAGAAAAGTGCGCATCTTAGACCTTATCTCTCCTCAGACCTGAGGTGCTGTTATTGCAGACTGTGGCCAAGTGTTAGTCTGCTGTCAGAAATCACAGCCCTGAAAGTACCTTTTTACCCTTCTACTTTCCTTATAAAAAGCAGAACATGCAAGACAAAAGCAGCAGCACATGCTTTTACTCTGCAAAATAGAGAATCATTCAGTCCTCTCATTGCAGAGGAACCAAACTGCTCCCTGGAGGGGTCTCTCCCAGAGGCAGGATTGAGGGTGATAGGGTGGAGGGATAAGGGTGAAGAGGGAGTCCAGCTCGACTTCCAGACTCTGTCTCTCTGTGAGCCCCATGGTGCCCTGAGTAAGTGCTCACCTGGAAGAAAGGAGCACTCAGGTTCAAACACCAATACCAAACTGGAATATTTTCTGCTCTACTTCTCATATAGGTCATTTGTGATTCAAAAGAGGTTTGAAGAAAGGGCAATTATAAAACCCTTAATGTGCTATTAAAATATTTATAATAGCTCAGCTTCCAAAAACATGCAGACTACCTACATACTGTCATTGTGCAGCTAACCACAAAGTATTCACCCAGAACTGCTAATGATAGAATGAAGTACCTTAAATGCATTGATGCATTTGATTGTGAAAAAAGAATAAGTAAGATATAGCCTGTATCTTGGACTATAAATGGACTAAATTGAGCTCTAAATTAATGACACTGTGTTCATCGGGAGTGAAATCAACAACTCTTTCTTTACGTTAACTGTATATTTTGATCAGTATTATTTGAAGGTATTTTTTCCTCTATTCAAAAATAAGAGTCAAAAAAGGTCTATCAACAACAACTTACTGGGTTTGGAAATGCTGTTCAAGGTGACCACGTTGCACAACCTCTGAGCAGTGTTCTGTGAAAGGGCAGCTAACCATTAGCTTATCCAGGAGGTTATTCACTAGTATGCTGGACTTCCTGCATGTCTGGAGAATCACAAGCTTGCGGTCCATGGGGCAGAAGTCTTTTTCCACAAGGAAGTTTGTAAGGCAGGCTGTGCAGAAGGTGTGACCACAGAGCGTGTCTAATGGCTGAAGCAAAGGTTGCAGGCAAATGTGGCATATCAGATCATCATCTACTTCTTCGGTGTAGCTGTACAAGTGGTTTTCTTCCGGTAAATGTGCTTGGCCGCAGGTGACACAGAGTGGTGGGGAGCTATCCTCCATTTCTTCTTCTTTCTGGCTCATAATCAGAATTGATGCAATTCAAAAGGGGGCAGGCGGGAATACCCAACCTGTTTTCTAATTGTGAGAACTGTAGCAAGGCTTGTGTGCCGTCAGATCTGTGGGGAGAAAAGCCAAAGGATTATGTTCTGGATTGTGTTTTCTTGCCATACTTGCAGTATGTATCTAGATATGAAGTACTATATCAGGTACTAGGAAACAATTGTGTCTTTGGGATGAGAGAGTAAAGCAAAGAAGGGCAGAAAAAAAAGAGAGAATTAATTCCAGAGACTAATTCTCTCACAAACATAGCTCAATTTACACTGACACTCTCATTGTAAAGAAATATATCAAGATAGGGAGAAATACTACAGTCATTTAATGGTTGAAAACCTTAAATTAGCATATAATTGCAATTCTAGTTAGACGATTTTGTGGCCACATTACTTCTGCCAGAAAAGTAGCATTGTGTGTGGGCAAACACTGCAAGACTGTGTGCAGAAATACAGGTAAGAATAAAGATTGCTGGCCAGGTTGCCTGTACAGCACAGCAAGGGAGAGCAGCAGCTTCACCTAATACACACAAGCATACAAACACTGTATTGTAGCCAGATGGAGGATAATTTGGGTTATGAGAATTTAGAACTTAAACTGAAGTGCACAGCACAATGCTAAATAGTGTATTGCTCAAAAGAAGGCCTACTCCTTTATAATTTTTTGTACAGAAACTCAGTATGTTCCTAGCTAAAAACCCAATTAGCTCTGGCCACAACACCTGCCTGATGGTATTTTAAAGATGTAAACTCTGTGGGTGGCAGTAAAACCAAAGAGTAATTTGTAGTTTTTACTTGATGAACCCCAACTGCTTGTTGGAGCACTTATGTCTCATTACTTCTATGCTTATTTTGATATAACACTCTGAAAATAAACATGGAGATATAAAATATGCAATGGCCCAATTACTACTCTTGCTTGAAAATGTAAATCTTATTTGCTGCTCTGCCTTAGCACTGTACCCTTGCTTTCAGCTTGACTTAATTTGCTGAGACAATGTGTCAGCCACAGACACCCATGTCTGAGGGCAAATGAGGGAAAGAATAATAAGAAAAATATGACTATGACAGAGCATATTTTCGTATAAATAAACCCTTATTTTTATGCAAAGCTCATGGGTTCTAAACCTGAGAAATTAAACTTTAACATGGCAGGTTTTTCTGACATGAAGGTAAAATAATAGCCCCACTAACACTAACCAGATGTTTAAATGTCAAACATTCTCTTCAATGTTTTGCTAGATCTTATTCTTATGAAGCAATTATGTTAAGTGCCTGTTTTTGCTTGCAAGAGAGAGTTCTGCATAAGCTCTGCCTCCTGATTAGCAGTAGCTTCACTGGAATTAAAATCATTGCCTCTTAGAACCCTTGCAAATATTTAAAATATGCAAAACTGGGTCAAATGTTCCCTTTTGTAAAAAAATTCACCAGAGCTTTATGGAAAATTATTTGTGAAGAAACAAACATCTCTCCATAGTGCAGGCAGCAGCTCCACCTATTATCTTAATGTAGGAATTATTATTTAATCTACTACGGTGACACACAGCAAAATAAAACGAGATAAAAGATTATCAGGGGATGTGCTGGAGACTATTTGGGCACTGTAAGTGGCCCCTGTAGGAACCTCTTGGATAACTTCTAGGTGAAGTGGGGTGGCTGTGAGTGGGCGTCCATGCTCTCCACATCCCTTGCTCATGGAGGGATCTCCAGTCAACAGGACTGCTTTCAAGAATGGCAACACATGGCTTGGGAAATTGCATGATTATTAAAATAAATGTAAAATTAATTAGAAACCAATAAAGCATGACAAAATAGCACTGTGTTATAAACTTCATTGTCTTTTACATTTTCAGAATGCCTTGCATCCATCCAGGGGTGTGGGCAACATGATGCTGTTTCTCCACTCCCCAGCTGTGTCCTCTTGCACCACCACATCCATGTGGGTGCTTACCCTATGCACCACACACCAGAATACAGCCAACTCCAGCATTTTGCTGTCTCATGGATGCTCTCAAGGACAGAATTCTTGCTTCTTGCTGGCAGGAAACACAATACACAGCTCCCATCAGCCAACCTGAAAGCTAAAGCCAATGCCTGCTCTGAGAAAAGAGCAGCCCTCAGGAACAGGTACATGGGCATCTGAGCCACCCCTGCCCAATCTCATGCCCTAACCCTGAAAGTACCTGTCCTCCACTTCCACATGTACAACACAGCAAGACCCCTGATACAAATTAGGTACAGCTGGCAACAGTACTACAGCTCCAAAGTTACTGCAATTATTTTCGCAATGACAACAGAGAAAGAGAGGCACCACTGCCCTAAGGCCATGTTCTGCTGCAGCAAAAATGATGAGAGAAGCCTCAGAGGAGGCAAAGTCTGGCTGTCCTGGCCATGTTACAGATACTCTTTATCAATCTGACATACTAATAATGCAATGCTAGTGGAAAAGGGCAGGTGTGGGGAGCTGTACCTGAATTTTACAATGTTTGCATAAATTACAAATACTTGCTACAGCACAGGGAGATAAAACTATCCACATTTATTACTAACAGGCACTGAGTTTTTAGAACCGGAAATTCGAGTCCTATGAGAACTATTATTTAGAAAATTTTGTCTACATACTAATATAAATACTGGAAAAAAAAAATCTCAAACCCTTCTGGCTAACCTGGTCCACATTCTCTCATGAACCTTCATAAACTGCTGGACATATCAGGCAATTGAATGATTGCCATTTTTGAGAAATGATTATACCACCAAAAGAGTTAGCATGCAGGGTGTGTGATGGAACTGTCATACAGATTCAGTCAGAGGCAGATGCTCTTTGTAATATTTGCAGTCATTTGTATTTATAACATTTATGTGCTGTCATATAATAGCTACATAATTTGTATTACGTCCTTTTAGGAAACTTAAAGTCTTCGTTCCTCTTGAACATTGTAGAAGACAGGGGAGAAGGTATTTAAATTTGACCTATTGATTACTAGTGCATATTTCTACTCCTTCCATAATCTATGAATAAAAAACAAAAATACACTTTGAGCAACAAAACCTGCTCAAGGAGATGGAAAGCCACAGTGAAATAGGAAAGGTAATAATTTCCGCACTGAACCTCTATTCTTCAAGCCCTGTCCTTCATAGGGGAAGAGATGAGAAAACAGAGGGGAGGAATCCTATGTTCAAGTTGGTGTCAGCCACCACTGGCAGCCTCAGTGGAACATGGATGTCACCTTGGCAGTCTCATGCTTCTTATAGTCAGAGCCATATTGACAGAGGGTGGTTCTTGCAAGGATGATTGGCAGGAGAAGCTTTTAGAAGAGGTGGTGGTCCCATGCCTAAGCAGACATCACCATCATTTGCTGCTTCCCTGCTGTGCAGGAAGTTTTCAACAGCTCAGATCCCAGATTTAGCATAGTTTTACAGCACCTAGCACAGGTTGGCTTGAATAAAGAAAATCAAGTACTGATTTGTAAGAATGCCACAGTGTTGTGGCACTGTGGTGAATCAAGCTTCAGTCCAAGGCAGAGACCTGAAGCACAAGAATAAATTGCAAATTATGAAGGAAGAACATTTTTATCTGGATATCCGTATTTCCAAGTTTTCAGCCACAAGCTGTAATGACAATGGTCACAACAGGGCATAAAATAACCCCAGGGCTGTGACCACAGTGAAAAACACTGTCATGATAACATATTTTTTAAAAAGTTACCCAACAGGCTGCACTGATTTGAGGAAGTTTGCATCTTACTGGTCCTTACTGCTTAGGAATTTGCAGCCACCAGAAGCACTTACAAGAATAACAGAAAAAAGCCTGGACAGTAAACATGAAGAGTAGGTAGAGAGAATACCTTTCATCTCCTTGCAATAACAAATCCATAGTTATCCCATCCCAGTGAAGCATTTAACCAATCTTAAGCTTAAATTCTGACTTACCACCACAGTTACACTGGCAGCAGTGTAGCTAGACAAGGGCTTGCTAAGCAGCATTGGAGAACCTCACTGCCTCTGCCTAGCCACCATCAAATATTAACCCAGCAGTTCACGAGGCTGCACTTGGAAGTAGCATGGCACAAAATGGGAGAAACTTCAGGTAGCAAAAAATGAGTAACAAAAGCTAAAGGAAAAATAATTAAGTGATGAAAGATATTGTGGAAATGGCTATCACAGAAAAAATAAAACAGATGCCTTAAGGCCAGAGAAAAAGTGACATGGAGCCTGGAGGAGTAGCTACTGGCTTAAATCACAAATGAAGAAAGATAAGCCACTGAGCAGGTGTTACTGGAAAATAGAGGAGCAAAACACATGAGCTGCAGAACAGTAAGAGGAGTTCAACTCCAGTAGTTCATTCTGAAGTAGTACAGCTTGGTGGTAATGAAATCTTCAGTCAATGATAAGAGTGGCCAGCATGTATAAAGAAAATGAATTCTAAATAGCACAGGAAGATTGACAAATATTAGTTGGTTTGGTAGCTTGGTTTTCTCTCTGTGATTAAGGGACACTTTATTAATGTTCCTGCTTTATACACACTCAGAGCATGTGTATAACAAATCCTGTATCTGCAGATTAAAACAGATGCCTTTTCACACCATGTTTTCCTGCTGTACAATCCGTGGGAGATGAAGGTTCTACTGACAGAGCTGTTGTGCTCTTCTTAGCTAAATTATGATAGCAAAGTAATTTTGCATCTTTCCCCCAGTCCCAGCATGGGCTGTTATCTCCTACAAATGTGCATCTCTTAGTGACTCACAGCCATCCATTTCTGTGGGTCAGTAAGGCAGTGTATGGCCAAAGGGGCCCATTCACAGGCATGTAAGGAAACCACTCTGCCACAGCAGCATTCACAGCTGCCAGCTAAGGGCAGGAGCTCCTTATTCTTCCAGAGATGCTTTTACCTGGCCTTCCTTTCACCACACTAGTTGTGAGCATGCTTTCTTGATAATCAGCTTCTTTGCTGAGGGTTTGGAGACTACTATCTTGTCTGTTCATGTTAAAAAATATCCACATCAAATCCAGGAGGCTCGACAGCTTTCACAGTTACAGAATTAGCTCTTTAATGAAGCCTCAGC